TCTTAAAGAAGAAGTTATAGGTCTGTGAGAGCCAGAAATCTTGCTTGTTTGTAGGTGACCAAATACTTATTTTCCACCATAATTTGCAAATAAATTCATTAAAAATCCTACAATGTGATTTTCTGGAGAGAAAAAATCTCAATTTGTCTGTCATAGTTGACGTGTACCTATGATGAAAATTACAGGCCTCTCTCATCTTTTGAAGTGGGAGAACTTGCACAATTGGTGGCTGACTAAATGCTTTTTTTCCCCACTGTAAATGCACCTATGGCATCTCATTTACAGTGAGGGAAAAAAGTATTTGATCCCCTGCTGATTTTGTACGTTTTCCCACTGACAAAGAAATTATCAGTCTATAATTTTAATGGTAGGTTTATTTTAACAGTGAGAGTCAGAATAACAACAAATAAATCCAGAAAAACGCATGTCAAAAATGTTATAAATTGATTTGCATTTTAATGAGGGAAATAAGTATTTGACCCCCTCTCAATCAGAAAGATTTCTGGCTCCCAGGTGTCTTTTATACAGGTAATGAGCTGAGATTAGGAGCACACTCTTAAAGGGAGTGCTCCTAATCTCATCTTGTTACCTGTATAAAAGACACCTGTCCACAGAAGCAATCAATCAATCAGATTCCAAACTCTCCACCATGGCCAAGACCAAAGAGCTCTCCAAGGATGTCAGGTACAAGATTGTAGACCTACAAAAGGCTGGAATGGGCTACAAGACCATCGCCAAGCAGCTTGGTGAGAAGGTGACAACAGTTGGTGCGATTATTCGCAAATGGAAGTAACACAAAATAACTGTCAATCTCCCTCGGCCTGGGGCTCCATGCAAGATCTCACCTCGTGGAGTTGTAATGATCATGAGAACGGTGAGGAATCAGCCCAGAACTACACGGGAGGATCTTGTCAATGATCTTAAGGCAGCTGGGACCATAGTCACCAAGAAAACAATTGGTAACACACTACGCCGTGAAGGACTGAAATCCTGCAGCACCCACAAGGTCCCCCTGCTCAAGAAAGCACATATACAGGCCCATCTGAAGTTTGCCAATGAACATCTGAATGATTCAGAGGAGAACTGGGTGAAAGTGTTGTGGTTAGATGAGACCAAAATCGAGGTCTTTGGCATCAACTCAACTTGCCGTGTTTGGAGGAGGAGGAATGCTGCCTATGACCTCAAGAACACCATCCCCACCGTCAAACATGGAGGTGGAAACATTATGCTTTGGGGGTGTTTATCTGCTAAGGGGACAGGACAACTTCACCGCATCAAAGGGACGATGGACGGGCCATGTACCGTCAAATCTTGGGTGAGAACCTCCTTCCCTCAGCCAGGGCATTGAAAATGGGTCGTGGATGGGTATTCCAGCATGACAATGACCCAAAACACACGGCCAAGGCAACAAAGGAGTGGCTCAAGAAGAAGCACATTAAGGTCCTGGAGTGGTCTAGCCAGTCTCCAGACCTTAATCCCATAGAAAATCTGTGGAGGGAGCTGAAGGTTCGAGTTGCCAAACGTCAACCTCGAAACCTTAATGACTTGGAGAAGATCTGCAAAGAGGAGTGGGACAAAATCCCTCCTGAGATGTGTGCAAACCTGGTGGCCAACTACAAGAAACGTCTAACCTCTGTGATTGCCAACAAGGGTTTTGCCACCAAGTACTAAGTCATGTTTTGCAGAGGGGTCAAATATTTATTTCCCTCATTAAAATGCAAATCAATTGATAACATTTTTGACATACGTTTTTCTGGATTTTTTTGTTGTTATTCTGTCTCTCACTGTTCAGATAAACCTACCATTAACATTATAGACTTTGTCAGTTGGCAAACGTACAAAATCAGCAGGGGATCAAATACTTTTTTCCCTCACTGTACATGTAGTCCTCACTACTTGTGTACATCGTTTGAAAATGTGATTCACATATTACATCATGGGTCCATACTCCATAAACAGAGTGCAGGTTTAAACTGGACCTCTGTCTCAAAATGAGCAACAGCGAATTCAAATCGTCGACGTAGTTGCACGTGATAAAACTCTACATCTTAGCTGTTCCCATTAGATAAGTTATTTAGCCCTATGCAAACCATAGCTGGCCATGACAGAGGGTAGTGCGTACGGCCCAGTACATCACTGAGGCCAAGCTTCTTGCCATCCAGGAAGCTCACAGTCTAGAGCGTCTAGTTCCTCATATTCGAATTACACATTCTTTTCCCCCCCCTTTGAAATGTAGAATTACATTTATCGTGTTAGTGTGTTGAGAAGTGAAGTGCAGCCAACAGCAAAATGAAGATTAAAGGAGCTACGTCTTTCTTCAGCCTTGCAGACAAACACTGCTATGGCCTAATAGTCCTATTGCGTAGGTGTTTACACCTAAATGTAGTCCTACAACTTTTTATATGCATTTTAAAATCATCTACTTTGTCACATGCGGTATTTGACTCGAAGACCAACAGTGGAGTGTTTTTCCCTCAAATAAAACCTTGCCCCAAGGAGAATTCGAACTCAGTGGTTGTATCTCACTGTCTCTGGGCCTTAGTGGATCATGCCACCGATTAGTGATAGCAGGAATGAGTAAATTACAGCTATTTGACATGGTCACAAGCGTCTTCTACTTTTATTTTACTGTACGAATATAAACTTACATGTTGTATAATCCTCTTACATCTTTATTGCTGTCAAAGCACATGAATTTGTGTGAAATGGATAGGCAAAAAAGTGGGATTTTGTCATGAGAAAATGTGCCTTTTGTATCTAGTAGCCTAGTCAAGGATACATCATACAATATTATTGGGACACTACACTTTACAGACCTAGTGGAACAAAAGTAAGGCTTGAAATTGGAGTTTTAAATATCCCTCACGTTGACCTATTTTAAGAAATGCAATTGGCTGGTGGCTATAAAGTCTAAGATCTTTGATAGGCTGATGCAGAATTTGTTACAGAAAATAATCACTGTCAGCTGTATAGGTTAGCATAGGGTTAACGTGTGCCAGGGAACCAGCTACAATGTAGCGTTCTATCATGTGCAACTACAGTAAATGACTGATGCGCATTTTGAGATGGTCCAAGTTAAACTTCAACTTTCTCTTATGTTCGCAAGTATGGGCCCCATATGTTAATCAACATTGTGCTTGTAATGATTTTAAAAGTATGTGGACACCTGCTCGTCGAGCATCTCATTCCAAAATCATGGGCATTAATATGGAGTTGGTCCCCCCTTTGCTGCTATAACAGCCTCCACTCTTCTGGGAAGGCTTTCCACTAGATGTTGGAACATTGCTGCGGGGACTTGCTTCCATTCAGCCACACGAGCATTAGTGAGGTCGGGCACTGATGTTGGGCGATTAGGCCTGGCTCGCAGTCGGTGTTCCAATTCATCCCAAAGGAGTTTGATGGGTTCAGGTCAGGGCTCTGTGCAGGCCAGTCAAGTTCTTCCACACCGATCTCGACAAACCATTTCTGTATGGACCTCGCTTAGTGCATCGGGGCATTGTCATGCTGAAACAGGAAATGGCATTCCCCAAACTGTTGCCACAAAGTTGGAAGCACAGAATCGTCTAGAATGTCACTGTATGCTGTAGCATTAAGATTTCCCTTCACTGGAACTAAGGGGCCCAGCCCAAACCATGAAAAACAGCCCAGACCATAATTCCTCCTCCACCAAACTTTACAGTTGGCACTATGCATTCGGGCAGGTAGCGTTCTCCTGGCATCCGCCAAACCCAGATTAGTCCGTCGGACTGCCAGATGGTGAAGCGTGATTCATCACTCCAGAGAACGCGTTTCCACTGCTCCAGAGTCCAATGGCGGTGATTTACACCACTCCAGCCGACGCTTGGCATTGCACCTGGTGATCTTAGGCTTATGTGCGGCTGCTCGGCCATGGAAACCCATTTCATGAAGCTCCTGACGAACAGTTATTGTGCTGACTTTGCATCCAGACGCAGTTTGGATCTCGGTAGTGAGTATTGCAACCGAGGACAGACTATTTTTACGTGCTACGCACTTCAGCACTCGGTGTTCCCGTTCTGTGAGCTTGTGTGGCCTGCCACTTTGCAGCTGAGCCGTTGTTGCTCCTAGACATTTCCACTTCACAATAACAGCACTTACAGTTGACCGGGGCAGCTCTAGCAGGGCAGAAGTCTGATGAACTGACTTGTTGGAAAGGTGGCATCCTATGACGGTTTAAAGTCACTGAGCTCTTCAGTATGGGCCATTCTACTATCAATGTTTGTCTATAGAGATTGCATGGCAGTGTGCCCGATTTTATACACCTGTCAGCAATGGGTGTGGCTGAAATAGCCGAATCCACTAATTTGAAGGGGTGTCCACATACTTTGTATATCTAGTGTATACTAGACCTCACCTCTGACTTAGTTCTTATGGTAAGGGAACGGTCTGCAGCATGTTCCAGTGAAAACACCAATGTCATGACATACATTATTTATTATTTCTTACAAATGTTCATCAAGTACACCACAAAAATATTAATATTCCTTCCTATTTTATAGCACACAGTTTTGGTACAGTAGTTCATTTCAACATAAAAAACAGTATCAATGCAGTACATCTTACTGTGTATAAAAATCACAAATAAGCAAGTCTATGTTCCTGTTGATTTGCATGTGGCAACAGTTCTCCAGCTGAGTGAGGTTGTCAGGGTGGTTGTCCTTCAGTCTGCATGGATTGTCCAGCAGAGGGCAGGGTTCGTCCTACCATACCAGTGTCTCCATGAAAATAACAGTCTCTCTCATTGCCTTGCATGTCCACAAGTCCATATCCCATGGCTCATGCAAAAGAGTCCCAAGCATAAAAATGTGGCATTTGTTTGGACTGTTGAGTCTCTTTCTCTCTCATGGTGGGAAAATGAGTCTTACAAGAAAATAGCCCTTGCTCCAGAATTGAACTACTGTGTTGGTAGGTCCTTTATGTAGTTGAAGGTCTTTTAGAAAATATACAAGAGAACCACTGGCCATAAGAGAGGTGGAGCCTTGTTATGTCCATCTGCAGAGGGCCAATGAAGTGGCCAGAGAAGCCAAGAAGAGGGCCACCGATAGGCTGATCTCTGAAGCTCCTCCACAGTCTTTCGCATCTTCCTAAAATCAGCAAGAAGAGAAGAACATTTCAAAATTAATTCATAAATCCTCATATCATTTTTTTGGGCTGTGGAGACTCTTTTTAAATCGGTTATTTGAATAACCCTTTGTATAACCATGTGTATGGTTCTTCATTACAAAGTTAGAACCAGAGGGTTCTTCATTACACTGTAAACAATCCTGGCTACTGGTTGCAGTGAAAATACGGTAACTATACAAAAAGTAACTGTATTTTTAGACATAGATTAAGGTACACTACACTCGGCGGTCCCGTTCTGTGAGCTTGTGTGGCCTACCACTTCGCGGCTGAGCTGTTGTTGCTCCTAAACGTTTCCACTTCACAATAACAGCACTTACAATTGACAGGGGCAGCTCTAGCAGGGCAGAAGTTTGACGAACTGACTTGTTGGAAAGGTGGCATCCTATGACGGTGCCACGTTGAAAGTCACTGAGCTCTTCAGTTCGGCCATTCTACTGCCAATGTTTGTCTATGGAGATTGCATGGCTGTGTGCTCAAGTTTTTAAACCTGTCAGCAACGGGTGTGGCTTTAATAGCCGAATCCACTAATTTGAAGGGGTGTCCACATATTTTTGTATATATAGTGTATTATTGCTATAAGGGACAGTATGCTGCTATATTCTGATTGCTTGGGAGTCACCCTCACTTGGGATTTGAACTCACAACCTCAAGTTTGTCAGCAACCTGCATTTTCTGCTATGCCACCGGGTCTGTGAGTATGATAGAGAGTGTTTTAAGATAAGAACCAACAAACATTCTGTGCTCGATAAAATCAGATCCGTTTTAGCCAACATCCGCATAGTGGTTGTTTTGACAGTGCCAGAGGTGGAACTGCGGTAGAGCTGTCAAATCCACAAGCGGCTCCTGGCATTATACCTGAAGCGAAAATTGCCATTGGCTGCACGGAGTCGCATTAACAGAAATCCCATGCAGCCTTGTTTACAAGTTCGAACATTGGAATGTGAGATGTAATCTATACTTCGATTAGGATGATAGAATCCTCATTATTTTGTTGAATGATTTTTCAATTTGAGCGTAATTAATTCTATATAGCCTACACTTTCTTGTTCTGAACTTTTTACGTGAGTGGGGCGGGTGGGGCTTTGTGACAATGATCGCTAGAGCAGCTGCTCACCGATTTGACAGCTCCAACACAGTTCCACCTCTGACACCGCCAAAACATCCGCTATGCGAGTGTCTGCTATTGCCGGTTAACACTTGATCTGATTGAATCTAGGCCTCTGTCATTTGTCCCTATGGGGGAAACCTTTTTTGGTGCTATGTAGAACCCTTAGATTTTTTAGAACCCTCTCACAAGGAACCCTAGGTGGGTTCTTTGTTTTGTCCCTGTAAGGGAACCCATTTTGGTTCTACGTAGAACCCTCTCATGAAGAACCCTCTGGTTCCATGGTTCTGTCATCTGCCCCTATGGGGGAATCCTTTTGGGTGCCATGTATAACCCTTTGATTTGTCCCTGTAGGGGAACCCTTTTGAGTTCCATATAGAACCCTCTCATGAAGAACCCTCTGGTTCCATGGTTCTGTCATCTGCCCCTATGGGGGAATCCTTTTGGGTGCCATGTATAACCCTTTGATTTGTCCCTGTAGGGGAACCCTTTTGAGTTCCATATAGAAACCTCTCATGAAGAACCCTCTGGTTCCAGGTAGAACCAATGACAGGTTCTACAGTTATACTTATAGCATACTCCAGATGAGCTTATGGCACACACTGTTAGGTACTCACAAAATCAAGTAGAAAAGGTAGTTTATATTCAATGTAGGTCGGGGCAATGTACTGGAGGGGGCTCGTTAGCATATTTGGGGGCATGGTCTAAAATATGTTGTATTTGTGCCAACCGTTAGTGGAAGTGTTGTACCAGTTTAAAGGTCCAATGCTGCTGTTTTTATTGCAATATCAAATGATTTATGGGTAACAATTAAGTACCTTACTGTGTTTTTAATTCAAATGGTCAAAAAGAGAAAACTATTTCTCAAGCATGGATTTTGCTTGGACTGTGTGTGAGTGGTCTGAAAGAGGGGCCTACTTGGAAGGGCCTAATGGGAGGGATGTGAAACCTGAAAACTAGCTATTTTTGGCAGAGAGGAGGGCAAACTCTCTTTGCTATTGATCTATTAACTTAAACCTATTAACAAAAGCCCCACCCAGCCAAACAAGCTGACATTTCAGGCGGTCTTTTCAAACAGCTCTTACACTTAAAGTGCATTTTCATAATTTTACAGTATTATTTCAACCTCATAGTGTGGAAATAGATATAAAACACAGGGAAATTATGTTTTTGACTGCATTGCTCCTTTAAGTGATTTCATCTTGCGTTGATGAAGGTCGATCACCTCATTTGTCCACTCCCAGTTCTATAATAATAATAATATGCCATTTAGCAGACGCTTTTATCCAAAGCGACTTACAGTCATGCGTGCATAAATTTTTTGTGTATGTGTGGTCCCGGGGATCGAACCCACTACCTTGGCGTTACAAGCGCCGTGCTCTACCAGCTGAGCTACAGAGGACCACATGATCTACAATCTTTGTAAGAGCTTTTGACAATCAAGAGCTGCACTGTTAAGAGGTTACTGTGCATTTTGCAGTAAGTTAATGGCAGTTTGTCAACAGGAAGTTCATGTTTATTTTTCAATAATATACGGTCAACTTGCTGCAAGTAGTTATTGTAAAATTCACAGTTACTTACTGTGGCTGATCTCTGTCACGCTCACTGACCTGATGGTGTAGCAGCAAGGTCAATTTTCTGTCAACCAAGGCCGGTGAGGCTGAGTCCCAAATGTGCTCATCACAAATAATGCTTAGTAGTTGTCAACTAATGTTAAGCTATATCTTGTAATCAGAAAAGTTAGTGTGAATTTTACATTAACTTACTGACAGCTGGTTGCCAGTTAGGGACTGCAAAATGTACAGCAACTTCCAGGCAACTAACTGCCATTAAGCTACTGTGAAAATGCACAGTAACTTCTTAACAGTGCAGCTCTTTATTGTCACATTCTCTTACAAAGATTGCAGAACTGACAGTATTAAAAGAGGTGCTCAAACTTTAACAACACAACCATCAACCACTTAAACTGGTACAACACTTCCACTGACGTTTGGTACAAACACAAATTCAGAAACTTGTTGTTGTTTACCGTACGTTCACTGCAACCAGTAGCCTGTAGTGTACCGTAACATTACAGGAACTTTTTAACAGTGTAAGAACAGGATGGTTCTTCACAACCATCACAACAGTAAAGAACCTTTCCTGATAGGCAAATCAATGCTTACACATATCACTCTTACCCCTGACAAAGAACCCCTCAATAACCTTTGAGTGTACTGCTTTATATTGATTGACACAACAATCTACTTTGACTATTCATCTCTGTGAATCACATTCCATTTAAATGTAACAAACACTTCTCTATTTGAATTTCAACATGCCTGCTATGCTAAGCCTGTAGCCAATGACAGGAATTAACTCAATATTACACCATTATACAATGAGGAGGAAGAGGGCTGACCTTAGGATGATAGGCGTGACAGGAGTTTGGGCGCCGGCGGACTTTCTGAGATTTCATCCTGTTACACTTGACTGATGCATTGTATTTGACCTCCTTGGGCTCCAGGGTGATGGAGGAGTACTGGCGGGAGCAGTCACAGTCCGCCTGGACCACCATCAACACCAGGTTACTTTCAGGGACCGCCTGCACCACAAACATCCTGGAACACAGCACATTCCGTTAACATTACATTCTGGAACACAAGTTCAGTTAAACAAGATTCAGTTACATTCTGGAATAAAAAAATACTCAGTTAATATAACATTGGGGACACGCTGAGAAACTCTAATGTAGTGAAATGTAGGGCTCTTTAGCACTGATATTCTGGCAGTTCAGATAATTGCAGGTTGGTATCATGGCCATAAGATGGCGCCACCACAGTGGAGTTGATTGTCTGATGAATGTTCTTACTTCTGACATCGGCCACATTTGATGAGGCTGTTGGTCTCTCTGATGGAGGAATCGTACATGAAGCCAGGATACTCTGTGTCACACGGCTGCAGCGCGTCAACCTTCTTGGCTTTATGGGCTAATGAGGATAAAGTAAACATTAATGTAATGTTTGTTTGTTTCAAAGAAGTGCATACTTACACACACACACACTCACTCACTCACTCACTCACTCACTCACTCACTCACTCACTCACTCACTCACTCACTCACTCACTCACTCACTCACTCACTCACTCACTCACTCACTCACACTCATACACTCACACACAGTACTTATACCCGCCCACATCTACAGGCACCCATCCCAGAGCTGTGGATCTCTACTCACATGTATGGTAGCCAGCCTTGGCTGTGTGTTGGGAATCACAGTGGAGAGGAGATGGATGGTGCACCATTCACAATGGACCACAGACAAATGAACATGGCAATGGGAGTGACCATGGGTGAGAAAATGGATGGGAGACAGCATTTGGATGAGAGACAATGACATGTGAATGAGACAGAGACATTTAGACACGGTATGAAAACTGCAGGATGATTCATCAAGGGAATATGAAAGCACAAACATGTATTATGTTGAAAGTGACTCTCCCTTCTCAGGTATGGATCCAAATATCCTCTTTGCAATGGCCTTTGTCACAAAGTATTAAGAGCGTAATTTACCGTCTACAACGTAATCCGAGTGCCACAACCCACAGAAGTTGAACTCCAGTAAGAACCTGTACAGAAGTAGAGTTGTTGGAGAGAAAAGACGGTTTAAAAAAACAATTAATTTTTCCCAAACTCAGCCCAAGAAGTGCATCTCATACTTACATCAACATGTGAGAGAAGAACCATTTGATCACTGTCGCAAGGCCGTAAAAAGGCTATAGGAAGGAGAGATGGAGATACAGAGAGAGAGAGAGTTGAAAGAGAAGAAAACAACAGGTAACTCAGGTGAAAGAGAGCAAGAAGAGAGCATCTGCTAAGTTACCATATTATTCAATCAGCAGGTAACATTTTATAATAACTTGCATCATAAGCCATTAATAAATGGTTCATGATTTGCTGATTATCTGTTAATCTTTATAACTATATATTATTGCCATTGAGCAATTGATTAAAGATAAATAAATAAAGTTGCATACTGTATATATGTTCCCAACAATTGAATGGGTAAACGTAACCAACGTTTAAACTTGTAGTGCCTTCTTCATGGTTGAGCAATTGATAAAGCAATTGAAAAACATGCTTATTGTCACGCCCTGGCTCTGGGGACACTTATATGTTGAGCCAGGGTGTGTAGGGTCTATGTTTTGTGTTCTATGTTCAGTGTCTAGTTCATGTGTTTTCTAGGTTGTCCGGGGTGGTTCTCAATCAGAGGCAACGAGAATCAGCTGTTGCTTGTTGTCTCTGATTGGGACCCATACTTAGGCAGCCTGTTGTGCACTTGTGTTTTGTGGGATCTTGTTCCGTGTAGGTTTGTGTATGACCGAGGACGTCACGTTTCGTTTTGTAATCATTGTTTAAGTTCTCATTAAAAGAGATGTACGCATATCACGCTGCGCCTTGGTCCACTTTTCATGACGATCGTGACACTTATCTGGCATGACTTACACTGAGCAGAGGGCGAGCATTACTGGAATGACTGTGTCCTGATCTACACATCCCCTGGTAGTCGTACAGTGACACCCTGTTGGACAAACACACAACAATTAGGTAGTTAGGGGTTACATAACCTTGCACAATAGGTTCAATCAATGGTATAATATGTACAACATAATGTAGCTTCTCTTACTTCTTGAACATGCCTGACTTGATCAACGCTGTCATCACAGATCCGTCCACTTCCCCAAAGAAACGTCCGACCTATAGAGACAATGTCAACATCAAGCTCTAAGTCACCCCAGAGCTTTATCACTATATGATTATACATCACTTCAGAGTCAGAGAGATGGAGTCAGAGGGAGATTCTGTAACACCAAAAAGGCGTTCCGTATCTTACGTTATGGAAGCTGCCCTATTAGTAAGCTGTTAGTAAACACTTTCATATGTTATAGTCAACATGAACATCATCTATTGGATCCTAGAGGCTTAAAGGCCCAGTGCAGTCAACAACGTGATTTTCCTGTGTTTTATATATATTTCCACACTATGAGGTTGGAAAAATACTGTGAAATGGTGAAAATTATGATAATGCCATTTTAGTGTAAGAGCTGTTTTGAAAATATCGGCTGAAATTTCACCCTGTTTTGGTGGGATGGAGTTTTGGCCTGCCTGGTGACATCACCAGGTGGTAAATTAGTTAATAGACCAAAAAGAAAGAGAGTTCCAAACCACTATGCCAATAACAGCTAGTATTCAGTTTTCCCCACCCCACTCAGACCACTCCCAGACAGTCTTAGCAAAATTCTTGCTTGAGAAATTGCTCTTTGCTAAGAAGCTGTTTTTGTTTATTTTTGACCATTTTAATTGAAAACAGTCACAGTAAGGTACTTAATTGTTACCCAGAAATTATTTGATATTGAGATAAAAACAGCTGCATTGGACCCCAAACCACTCATTCCTTTAATTTACAGTGTTAAATAACACATATGTGAGAACAATATTTTTTGTGAACAAATGTTTCATTTTGGCATTATAATATGGTTGTTAGCAACATGGGAAATCGTTGTGGAAATCTGTTGCAGCTCAAGTCAACTACAAAATCCACAATGCAATGCTGTCTCTATGAGCTGGCTGGCTAGCTAGCTAGCAAACGTAGATACACACAATAATACCGAAGACACTATCAGCATCTAACATAGCTAGTTAGCTGTAAAATCACCTGCACTATCAATTTAGGAGTCTACAATCTCACCATGTTCAACCTGCAGATCGATGTGCCTCACAGAGTGGAGTCTAACATTCACAACGGGAGATATACTTTGAGGAGATGGGAAACGTTGCCCATGCTAAGTCAATAGGCAGCATGGTGCATTCTGTGCGATTTTGGGACAAGGAGCACTCTCCATCAAGGAGTGAATGGGAGTCTATTGGGCACTAGCTCAAAAACCCAACATTAGCATGAATTTTGTAAACAAGAAGTACAACATTACAAATCTTTTCCGAGATGTGAGATAATTCACTTGCTATCTGTAGTATCGTATAGCTTTGGAATCGTGACATTACCTACTTTTGAGCACATATGCACTGACTTTGAGAAGGGATCGAGTGACAATTAGCTTACCAACCGCGTGACGCAGCATGACAACGTGAACGCAATTGGTCGACAGTCTGCTGTGTGAGGCATTATAAATTCCTTCATTTTAATTGGACTAGACAATAGGAAAAATGTGGCAGACGTTAAATTACACATTTCTCGAAGTAGGACGCAAACAAATGATAGTCCCCTGTAGCTCAGTTGGTAGAGCATGGCGCTTGCAACGCCAGGGTTGTGGGTTCGTTTCCCACGGGGGGCCAGTATGAAAAATGTATGCACTCACTAACTGTAAGTCGCTCTGGATAAGAGCATCTGCTAAATGACGTAAATGTAATGATCAATGGCTCATTCGAGAGAAGATTACCTCCAGAGTTATGACATCGGCCAGTATTGAAATCTGACATGTATGATAGACGTTTTCGCAATCTGAAAGTCGTATTCCTATTAACTTCCAGTGTAGTGAGAGCGACCTTATCACGGTGCTACGTCATACCGGACGGATTTCTGCCTGCTTGAACGCCAATAACTCACATACACATGAAAACATGAAATGACCCAGGGAATTGATAGAACATCACTCAGAGATGCACAAAAACAACATAACATTCAAAATGGGTGAACCTTTCCTTTAAGTTATCTCCATCCAGTATTCTGTACCTCTACTATATGTATTTACCTGTTACTATTATGTACTGTATGTTCATGTCATGTTAGAGTACTGTTGTCTGTGAATGAGTGTCACAGCTTATTTAATATGACAGAGAGAGAGGTTAACCTAACCTAAAGTACAGTATACACTCCCCTCTCTCTTTCTTCACTCTTTCTTCTCTTGCTGTAGCACATCTCTGTTCCCCTGAATTATTCAAGGCCACTTTGTTTTAGCAACCCTGTCCAAGTTAACAAGTCATCCTCTCTCCTCCTCCCCTTTCTCTCTATGTGCGGCTGACACTTTATTTCAATCAGATATAAAGATAAATAAATAAATATAGAGAGAAGGGGAGAAGAGGAAAATAATTTCCCTGTGGCCTTTTAAGTGATTCAGTGTTTGCTGAGTTTGTGTGTGTGTTTGCTGAGTGTGTGTGTGTGTTTGCAGAGTGTGGGCTTCGGTCCCGGAATTGAACTTGACGCTCTATTTACCTGTCAGAAATGTTGTGAAATAAAACTGCAACAACGTTTCGGCGGAAAGATTTGCAAACAATGCATCCATCATAGTATGGGAATCCAATGCAGTTCCAAAGCAGTGTGTCCTCGATCAAATCTATTACCGACAAACTACATGTTGTGTAGTCAGCATCTAGACTTTGTTTCTGCTTAGTCATAGTCTAGTAAAATAAAAATAAATGTTTTATTGTCACATACACCGGATAGGTGCAGTGAAACGTGTTGTTTTACAGGGTCAGCCATAGTTGTACGGCACCCCTGGAACAAATTAAGGTTATGTGTCTTGCTCAAGGGCACATCAGCAGATTATTCACCTTGTCGGCTCGGGTATTTGAATCAGCGACCTTTCGGTTACTGGCCCAACGCTCTAACCGCGAGGCTACCAGCTGCTTCGCGGTTAGAGAAAAAGTTAGAGAAAAAGAGACAGGATTGTGTCGAGGCACAGATCTGGGGAAGGGTACCAAAAATTTTCTGCAACATTGAAGGTCCCCAAGAACACAGTGGCCTCCATCCTTCTTAAATGGAAGAAGTTTGGAACCATCAAGACTCTTCCTAGAGCTGGCCGCCCGGCAAACCTGAGCAATCGGGGGAGAAGGGCCTTGGTCAGGGAGGTGACCAAGAACCTGATGGTCACTCTGACAAAGCTCCAGAGTTCCTATGTGGAGATGGGAGAACCTTCCAGAAGGATAACCATCTCTGCAGCACTCCACCAATCAGGCCTTTATGGTGGAGTGGCCAGACGGAAGCCACTCCTCAATAAAAGGCACATGACAGCCCGCTTGGAGTTTGCCAAAAGGCACCTAAAGGATTCTCAGAACATGAGAAACAAGATTCTCTGGTCTGATGAAATCAAGATTGAACTCTTTGGCCTGAATGCCAAGCGTCATGTCTGGAGGAAACCGCTCATCACCTGGCCAATACCATCCCTACGGTGAAGCATGTTGGTGGCAGCATCATGCTGTGGGGATGTTTTTCAGTGGCAGGGACTGGGAGACTAGTCAGGATCGATGGAAAGATGAACAGAGCAAAGTACAGAGAGATACTTGATGAAAACCTGCTCCAGAGCACTCAGGACCTCAGACTGGGGCGAAGGTTCACCTTCCAACAGGACAACAACCCTAAGCACACAGCCAAGACAGCATAGGAGTGGCTTCAGGACAAATCTCTGAATGTCCTTGAGTGGCCCAGCCAGAGCCCGGACTTGAACCCGTTCTAACATCTCTGGAGAGACCTGAAAATAGCTGTGCAGCCACGCTCCCCATCCAACCTGACAGAGCTTGAGAGGATCTGCAGAGAAGAATGGGAGAAACTCCCCAAATACAGGTGTGCCAAGCTTGCAGTGTGATACCCAAGAAGACTTGAGGCTGTAATCGCTGCCAAAAGTGCTTCAACAACAAAGTACAGAGTAACAAAATGTGGAGAAAGTGAAGGGGTCTGAATACTTTCCGAATGCACTGTATGTACATTAGATGGTGTCCATATTGATCGTGTCCCTGCTTACAAATATCTGGACATCTGTATAGATGAAAAGCTGTCTTTTAAAAAGCATATTGTTGAGTTAGTTAAGAAGCTGAGAATAAAAATGGGCTTCTTCTATAGAAATAGGTCCTGCCTCTCACTAGAAAGTAGATTATTCAGTCAAAGCTGCCACTTCATTAAAGCCGTTAGATGGAGTTGATCATAGTGCACTGCGCTTTATTACGGGCGCCAATTTGAGCAATCATCACTGCATTCTCTCTTTGATGTCACTTAGGTTGATACAGTGCTATGTTTTCATTTATAAAGCCCTTTTACAAAAGGTCTCACTGCACCTAACATCTTTACTGAACTTTAGACTTACGAGTTACCACACCCGGGATGGCCACTCTGGAAATTCCTTTTGTCTCAACTAAGTTAGGTAAATCATCTTTTAGTTTTTGTGCACCTTATTTGCACCTTATTTGTGGAACAATCTTCAAAATGTTCTTACATTTGATGTTTTGGGTCTCTAGGGCAATTCAGAAAGCTGATTGAGGACCTTATTACTGATGATTGTGTTTGTTTTTTTTGACTGGGTTTTTCTTTCAGTTTGCATTTTGTATTTCTATTTTCATGTGTGTATTTTCTGTAATTTATGTAATTCAGGGATGATCTATAAAATAGATGTTGTTCTCAGTATGTCTACCTGATAAAATAAAGGTTAAATAAAATAAAATAAATACCTTGGTACATTAGACATTTTAAAGAAGTTATGTATGACCCATTTCTTGAAGTCATCACTGCTTCCATATCTCCTATGATTAAATATTTAGAGCTCTGCCTTAGCCCAATCCCTCTCTCGGAATAAAAAGGGAGGGATACTCTTGGTGTTTCCACAAAACTTTGTCCTAACCTCAGCAAAATGGACCCGGGGTAGCACTAAATCATACTATCTGCTTAGTAAGGTTTGCTTTTAGTTCCTTACTGAGACAATAACATATGGAATTAAAAGGGAAAATGTAAATACTTCATCCTTGGTTTGGCCTGAGTAGCCTTAATGTTAGTGAATGTTTTATTTCCTCTGGGACTGGCAGTGACTGCAGCAAGAATACTTTTATGAGTAGATCAGCTTGAAAGTTGAGCTGACAGACGTTTTGCACTGTTTCACTTTGGATGTAGTCATCAATCTAGCAAGAGGACAATATTTTATTAATGTAGTAGTGCTTCCCCCCCTAGAAAGCTATGACCTTTGGCTTTCCCCTTGAATTGTTTATTTATGTATGAGAAAAAAACACTTTTCAACCCATATGATGTAGTATGCAATAAAAGTATAATTAAACATACAAATCTGATGATATGATTTTTTTTTTTAATGAATGAATAAGCCTTTTCAGACTTTATAATATGTCCATATATAGTTATAATCTGTTTTAGGAACATCTACCTAAAATATTTCACATTCTTTATTACTTTACCAAACATATCATGACATTAGTGATAGTCAAAATCTGTTACATTTGTGAACTTCTAAATCAACATTAAATGGGCAATTTAAACAGCGTGCGTCCCTCCTATAAAGAAGGGCTATGTAAAGGGCTCGATTTTGTCATTCTGAGCATATGCAGTGTCTGCCTCCGACGTAAAACATTCTTTGGACTTCCACACAAAATTACTTCTTGACTTATTTTAGGTTTAAGGAAGTGTGTAGGTCGTATTCTTTATCATAGAGCTATGAAAGTATGTATTTCGATCCACCTGCTAGAGACAAATTCAGCGATTGCTTTGCCATGTCTGTGCCATGAAGCAGTCGAGCTGGATAAATGTTTTTCTAAGGGCCGCCCCTTTGACGTGATGTCAATGTGAAGTGATATAAATCGATGTAATGATGCAGCCAACCACCAGAGGGGGGGAAATACAAGTTTATTCGACAGAGGACCTTTACATGGTCCAAGGAAGGTCTGGATTTCTGTCTTCTGACTTACAGAACGGTGGGAAATCAATAAAATAAGTAATGTAAACATATCAATATTTCTAAAAGTAATTCTAGTGGCAGATTTGGGAACTGTCAGCTTAAGAGGTTTTAATATTGCAGATTAGTAGGTTCTATCATTTTAATTGTTTGCATCATTTCTAATTCCCCTTATTTATGTTATTTCTATATATATTTTTTCTGCCCTACCCTAACATCCCAACCCTACCATCCCTACACTAATTGGAGTAAGCTAACGGACAACAATTCTTCTACTGCTACTTACAGGTATTTCGCTCACATCTATGGTACCTGTTGTTAAATAATTATACATATATTCCTAATTTCCTCCTTCAAGTGCAGGATTTTCACCCACAGCGTCCAATCCATCATTCATTCTGATTTTAACTCCAATCCTCCGATGTCCACAGATTAACCCATCTTTCCCAGTATATTGCTATTTTTCTATTTCCTTTTGCAATACATCCCTCCATTTTACTATGATGTCTTACGAGGGTTCCTGAACCTAAAATTTCTAGCGATATAAAAAATAAATACTTTACCCAAGAGTATAACGATATTTCCCATTGACTGATCTTGGTTTTTCAGATCCCCTAACAATACAGTTTGCAGTTCCATCTGAACCCTGATATTATGACATAACAACCATTCCTGGACCTGACTCCAAAAGCGAGCCACCAATGGAAAGTACCAGATTTTGTTTCCTTGTAGCAAAGTCTGCACAAGGCTGACTGTTCAATGCCCCATATGCCCTACCCTATGCTTTGACTTCTTTCTCCCCTCTCTCTCCAGATGAAATCTTGCGACTTGTGACGGCCGGTCACCCAACAACCTGCCCGCTTGACCCTATCCCCTCCTCTCTTCTCCAGACCATTTCCGGAGACCTTCTCCCTTACCTCACCTCGCTCATCAACTCATCCTTGACCGCTGGCTATGTCCCTTCCGTCTTCAAGAGAGGGAGAGTTGCACCCCTTCTCAAAAAACCTACACTCGATCCCTCCGATGTCAACAACTACAGACCAGTATCCCTTCTTATTTTCTCTCCAAAACTCTTGAGCATGCCGTCTTTAGCCAACTCTCTTGCTATCTCTCTCAGAATGACCTTCTTGATCCAAACCAGTCAGGTTTCAAGACTGGTCATTCAACTGAGACTGCTCTTCTCTGTGTCACGGAGGCTCTCCGCACTGCTAAAGCTAACTCTCTCTCCTCTGCTCTCGTCCTTCTAGACCTATCTGCAGCCTTTGATACTGTGAACCATCAGATCCTCCTCTCCACCCTCTCCGAGTTGGGCATCTCCGGCGCGGCTCACTCTTGGATTGCGTCCTACCTGACATGTCACTCCAACCAGGTGGCGTGGCGAGAATCTGTCTCCGCACCACATGCTCTCACCACTGGTGTCCCCCAGGGCTCAGTTCTAGGCCCTCTCTTATTCTCGCTTTACACCAAGTCACTTGGCTCGGTCATATCCTCACATGGCCTCTCCTATCATTGCTACGCAGATGACACACAATTAATCTTCTCCTTTCCCCCTTCTGATAACCAGGTGGCGAATCGCATCTCTTCATGTCTGGCAGACATATCAGTGTGGATGACGGATCACCACCTCAAGCTGAACCTCAGCAAGATGGAGCTGCTCTTCCTCCCGGGGAAGGACTGCCCGTTCCATGATCTAGCCATCACGGTTGACAACTCCGTTGTGTCCTCCTCCCAGAGTGCAAAGAGCCTTGGCGTGACCCTGGACAACACCCTGTCGTTCTCCGCTAACATCAAGGCGGTGACCCGATCCTGTAGGTTCATGCTCTACAACGTTCGCAGAGTACGACCCTGCCTTACACAGGAAGCGGCACAGGTCCTAATCCAGGCACTTGTCATCTCCCGTCTGGATTACTGCAACTCGCTGTTGGCTGGGCTCCCTGCCTGTGCCATTAAATCCCCTACAACTCATCCAGAACGCCGCAGCCCGTCTGGTGTTCAACCTTCCCAAGTTTTCTCACGTCACCCCGCTCCTCCGCACACTCCACTGGCTTCCAGTTGAAGCTCGCATCTGCTACAAGACCATGGTGCTTGCCTACGGAGCTGTGAGGGGAAGGGCACCTCCGTACCTTCAGGCTCTGATCAGTCCCTACACCCAAACGAGGGCATTGCGTTCATCCACCTCTGGCCTGCTGGCCCCCTCTACCTCTGCGGAAGCACAGTTCCCGCTCAGCCCAGTCAAAACTGTTCGCTGCTCTGGCACCCCAATGGTGGAACAAGCTCCCTCACGACGCCAGGACAGCGGAGTCACTCACCACCTTCCGGAGACACTTGAAACCCCACCTCTTTAAGGAATACCTGGGATAGGATAAAGTAATCCTTCTATCCCCCCTTACCCCACCCTCAAAAAATAAATACAAATAAAAAAAATATTGTAAAGTGGTTGTCCCACTGGCTATCATAAGGTGAATGCACCAATTTGCAAGTCACTCTGGATAAGAGCGTCTGCTAAATGACGAACATGTAAATGTATACCAAACATTACGAACACCTTCCTAAAATTTAGTTGCACCCCCCCATTCTTGGTACACGTGGGAAACTGTTGAGCATGAAAAACCCAGCAGCATTGCAGTTTTTGACACAAACTGGTGCGCCTGGCACCTACTACCATACCCCGTTCAAAGGCACTGACATGTTTTGTCTTGTCCATTTACCTGCTGAATGGCACTCATACACAATCCATGTCTCAATTGTGTCAAGACTTAAAAATCCTTCTTTAACCTGTCTCCTACCCTTCATCTACGCTGATTGAAGTGGATTTAACAAATTACATCAATAAGGGATCATAGCTTTCACCTGGATTCACCTGGTCAGTCTATGTCATGTTCTTAATGTTTTGTATACTCAGTGTATTGAGCATTCTTTTTGTAGCAAGTATTTTATATAATAGCTTAAATTGAAACAAACATATTCATGTGTCAAGTGTTGTTTTATATGTCAGTTCATAGACCCGATGCCAAGGTATTGGGGCATAAAAAACCTGTTCCCAACTGACTTGAATTTTAGGAATAGTTATACAGGAGGAACTGCTCTGGGTAAACAAGATGTGGTGTGTGTGTGTACATTTGTGTGTGTGTTCAGCCTACGTGTTTGTGTGTGTGTTTGTGCACTCTCCTCCAGCCCACGCTCCTCCTCAACCTCAAAGGTCTCCCAATTACAAGTGGTAGGATCACAATCGAACAAGGACAAAATACATCCCACCTTTAAGTCCCCTGTGGCCTATGTGACCTATGCCATGACAGGCTATAGGGGTCAAGATCCAGATCCATACAGGGCAAGCCTCATCTTCCCTCAGTGTAGCCAGCTGGACCTGCACATCTGGGGCTGCTATTGGCAGAGGATCCTGGCTGCATGGGGCAGCAGCTTAGGCTTTAGGCTGCAGCCCATCACTGACCATACTGCACGTGATGGGCCACCATTACCACTTCAGTCAGTCACAGACAGATGCACTTAGCGTCTGTCTGTATGGGAGTTAATGAGTGAGTGCAGTCCAGTACAGTGCAGCGGTGGGCTCTGTGGTAATCAAATCTACATTCGTTCTTCTTCTCACAGGGCCATGGTAATCCCAGGGCATTACATACATGTGATAAGATACCACACTGACTCCCTACTATAATGTGCAGTATAATAGGGTCTTATAGGCCCTCACTCACTGTTGTAGTCTTCAAGTGTATACTATGATGTAAGGGCCGCCGCATACCCAGCACACTGTTATGTTCATTTATAAACACTTATGTTCCTTGCCCATTTCCACCACACTAATGCTCAGTAATACAGTTGTTCCAATCCATTTCCACCACACTAATGCTCAGTAATATGGTTGTTCCAGTCAAGGCCTCTCTACAATGAAGTCAAGTGATGAGGTGGCGCGGGCTGCTGGGTGCCTTTAGCCCCAGCTAGTCAGTTTCTGCTAATGTGTCTAAGAGGGATTAGGACCATAAGTGTTCTCAAATCCTATGAGTGCTCCAGATGTTGTTTTGGCCTGTTACTTACTGTCTGCCACGCAATCTCTCTCTCTCTCTCTCTCTCTCTCTCTCTCTCTCTCTCTCTCTCTCTCTCTCTCTCTCTCTCTCCTCTCTCTCTCTCTCTCTCTCCTCTCTCTCTCTCTCTCTCTCTCCTCTCTCTCCTCCCTCTCCTCTCTCTCTCTCCTCTCTCCTCTCCTCTCTCCTCTCTCTCCTCTCCTCTCTCTCTCTCTCTCTCTCTCTCTCTCTCTCTCTCTCTCTCTCTCTCTCTCTCTCTCTCGTTGCTAAGGAGCTACCAGCACTGAACACACCCCTTAAGAAGAGTGTTAAGTTACAATCACCTGACCTTATGTGTATTTACATGGTTAAGCCGACCAGATTGTGATTATATAAATTATCCCTCCCCTGATCTGCTGATCTGCTTATCAAAAGGTTAAACATTTTCATTAACCACAGCTATTATGGTGCAATCGTTATATAACAAAGCACATATGATGTACTATAGTACAGATGAGGGGTTACAATAGAAGTGTCAACTGGTGTATGACGGTGGTGTTAGGATGGCTGTATGAAGTGGTTTGATATGTTCGGGTCACTGGGTGGTCATGATGTCGGTCACTTACCTCTGACCTCTCTTTAGAGACTATGATGAAGCCGTTGCTGTCGACAAGGAAACAGTTGACATCCTGGAGGAAAAGAAGACAGGACATTAATGAAACATCATTAGCACTTATCCAATCATATTTGAACATTATTGTCATTCATGAATTGAATCGTAACTGAACCCAACCCTGTAGAATAGACTCAGTACTCACAACGCTCTGACAGCTGAGAGGGCAGAGACCTTCCACTCCAGTACACTGGAAAGAAAGAGAAAGAGAAAGAGAAAGAGACAGATGAGATAGAGAGAGAGATATGAGATAGAGAAAGAAAGAAAGAGAGAGATGAGATAGATAGATAGAGCGATAGAGAGAGAGAGAGAGAGAGAGAGAGAGAGAGAGAGAGAGGAGAGAGAGAGAGAGAGAGAGAGAGAGAGAGAGAGAGAGAGAGAGAGAGAGGGGGGGTGGAGATCAAGGTCATGAGTCAGAAGGTCGACCACCACTCAGAAATAGATGAATCATGTGACTGACTGACAGCAGAGAGAGAGAGACCTATATGGATTTGGAACACACAACCGCAACAACAACACAAACACGGCTGGCTCTATAGCCGGTCAATAGGGTGTGATAACCTCTTCATACTCAGAGAGAGGAGTTAATATACTGTATAAACAGAAAGTGAAAGGTCACTGTTTACTTACGTCTGTGTCATTGGGCTGTGGGTGGAGGTGAGAGACAGAGAGGCAGAGGAGGAGAAAGACAGAGAGATGATCAAATGTTAGCACTTAGCAGATAATCCTAAATGTAGTGCACACATTTTGGTATGTGTGTATGTGATCCCTGCGGGAATTGATCCTGTGACCTTGACGTTGCCATGTTCTTACCAACTGAGCCAGAGATGGATTTGTGTCAGTAGTGTGATATGTCGTTGGGGAGCTGAGTGTGTGTATGTGCGTTTGTGTGTGTGTCTGTGTACGTTTGTCTGAGTTTGAATGTTTGTGTGTGTGCTTGTGTGTGTGTTGGTCCCTTACCTGAAAGGTAATGGCCCATAGCCTCTTCTCCAGCATTTCCAAGGACATCTGCACCCCAATGGCTAAAAATAGAACACGTGCGCGCACGCACGCACACACACACACACATACACACACACTCACTCAGGTCAGTTGAGAGAGGAAAACATGGACTCCGCAAAAACCCTGAACACAAAATATACTGTGACTGTCTGTGAAACTATATTGAGAGGCTGGGTGGGTGTGTTGTTGGGCATTACAGTGGGACAGGAAATCGATTAGGCCTTCAGTTCATCTCGATGCAGTTTGCACAATTAGCACCAGACTGCTGCTGTTTGCATGCAAATGGTCACTGTGTATACACTGATGAGCTAGCGTGAGGCGTGTGCTACAGGTAAATTGTGTCTGGGTGGGACAATGCAAATATCTGCCATGCTTTCATGGTAGACTGTTGTTGTTGATACCTCTGCAGTATTCTGTGTTGTGAGATACTAATGCTGGTAATATTTTATTTAACCAGCTGATTACTGATTAAAATTGTAATTACCTATTGATTGCATAGTTGTCTGATATTTTGCATAGTATGTCTGATGTTTTGTCTATATCATGTCTCTCTTTTTGTTGTGGATCTTTTTTGACGCAGTGCAATTTCTGTACTTAATACACATTTCTGCGAATGAAAGACAATAAAGTACTATCTAATTGAATGTAAACTAATCTAGTAATCTAGTAACAATTTACCCTAATGTTCATGATGGCTCACACACACATGCAGGCAGGTAGGCATGATGCACACAAACACACACAGTCTGGTCACTCTGCTAAAATAGGAGCCCTAACCAAAACTGTAGCTCATCTGCAGTCTGGGGAACTGAGGAGTACCACACACACTAACTGACTGACTGACTGACACAAGGTGATATGCAACACCAATAGTATGGGATGATAGCTTGATGACAGAGATACACATTTAAACCCCCTCTTGGAGTAGAGTAACTTGGTGGTGACATCTTATTGGACAGAATAGAGGAAATGCCAATCAAAAGACCTACTGTATTCCTCCCTGTCAGACATTGTCTACCTTTCCAGAGAGACCAATGACACAGCAGAATGAGTCGTCTCATAATGACATGATCATTGTCAGTAGCAGGCAGGGTTCCTGCCTGCCTGGCATTAGCCACTGGTGCAGCAGAGGTGTTTTGATTGTTTTGCTGCTTTGCTGCAGTCAGTAGTCTTCCACCAGATACAAGGCTGAAAATAATGTAAAAAGAGGCGCACGAACGCACACGCGCACACACGCACACGCGCACACGCACACAACAACCTTCACTGTGGGCATTTTGGGGCAGACCCCGACACAGCTCAGGGTCCAGCCTTTACAACAGCCTATAGAGACACTCTCATCCTCTGTGAGGTACTGAGCTATATCAGCTGATTCCTCCCGCCCTCGCTGCCTCTCTCTCTCTCTCTCCTCCACTCTCTCTCTCACTCCCTCTCCTTTTTCATTCAGCTGTAACACACTATACTATTTTTAACTATTTTTGGCAAACCAGGCGTAATGCACACACACACACACACACACACACACACACACACACACACACACACACACACACGTACACACGCACACACACACAAACAGACAAACACTCAGACACACCCACATGGCATGCATATATATGCCATAGAAACGGCACAGCACTCTCATACAGGATCATACAAAGACGTGGTGTATCCTGCAAGAGCGACAGTGCGTTAGCTCTCTCGCACACACACACACACACACACACACACACACACACACACACACACATACACACACACACACACACACACACACACACACACACACACACACACACACACATACAGACTGAGCTAGAGTGAACCTCTGGACAGTGCTGCACTCAGACTACCAGGAAAGCAGAGTCGGAAAGAGGACCTGAGAGGAGAAGAGAGGAGAGGAGAGGGAGATCCACTGCTCCAAGAGACAGAGAGAGAGAGAAAGCAGAAGAGAAGACTGGAGCATGTGTTTCTCGACCAAGAACATCTCCCCTTGGGACCCCAACATCTGCATACAGCAGGACAAACAGCTGAACTGAACAACACGCAGCTAAAGGACAGTTAGCAGCATTATCAGATGAAGCATATTCTTTTAAAAGATACTACTGTAGCACTTTTCTTGTAGAATTATTTTAAGAGCTATAGCACTTTGGAGGCTGAAACATTGGCAGATGGTGAGTACTGCACTGTGCTGTGTGTGTGTAAAAGTATCTGTTGTTGGGTAGGTTTCTCATTCTTTATGCTTCTTGTGAGAGAATATTACAACTACTAGGCTAACGCATTGAGTCTGTTCACAGTAAGAAAATGGTTGTTACCACAAAACAGGGTGACTGTTCTCCCCCTCATTCCAGTGCAATTATCAGAGGGAACTAATCCATAAGCTTGTGGGAGCAAAACGAAACCAAGGGAAACTGCCATTGACCAAGCTGCAGTAAGGTAGCATTACAATGCAGGTAGTGTGCACTGGGATGAAAACACAAACTTTAGGGCTTTATAAAACGTGAAAGAAGACTGCAGACATACAGTAGAGTACGTAGCTGAATAACCTTGAATATAAACTTTGCATGCAGACTTCTAGTATCGGAAGGGGTGGATATGAAAAAGTTAGTAAGATAAATAAGATAACATAAATGGACATGTTCTATAGATGTACAGCATGAGTTCACACTGTATAACCTTTTTTATACACAGTAGTTCTCAAACCTCTCCTTGGGGAACCTCAGCCGTTCCATTTATTTGAACTATTCCACAGCTGGCACACCTGATTCAACTTGTCAACTAATCA